CTGAGGTGTCTGCTGAGAAAAGCCGCTGCGCGTCTCCCTGGTCTGCTGGGGGGGGGGCGCTAGCTTCACGTCTCCCTGGTCTGCTGGGGGGAAGTAGCTAGTGCTGGGATGGTTTAGTTGGGGTTGGTCCTGCTTTGGGCAGGGGGTTGGACTCAATGACCTCTTGAGGTCTCTTCCAGCCGTAGGATTCTAATGAGGTCATGTGTCTTTGTAACAATATTTGCTCTTTTGAATAGAAGCATGTTTGCTGTTTCCTATATCTTTCCACGCTATATATTTCACCAAAACTAGTTTAATCGAAGAGACAGCTCCACTAATGACTTCTGCACAAATTCTTTGCAACTCCTTACCCCAGAGAATTTGGATTGATATACTTATTTTAAGTATTTTTTGTTGTTGTTATAGAAACATATCAAGTAGAGAAGAACTCAGTGTTTTCTCTTTGCAAAAGTTGTTTTCAAGAGTTTGAACTACTTAAAGTTCTGGTTCAAAAAATCTAAACTCACCTCAGCCAAAAACATGAAATATCATCTGGCTTCGGGTAAAACAAAATCAATTAAGCCAAAAAGTTCCTTAGAGTTTTCAAGCAAACCATAAATTGGTTCAGGTTCACTACAGCTGTAAAATAGCATGGTGACCTTTGAACAGGCAAATATTAATTTCCATTATATAATCTACATCAAAGGCCTGCAATTTCAGTCATTTTCTCCCTCTAGCATACACATGCACACACACACACACACACACACACACACACACACACTTTCTTTTTGCATGTTCACTAACATTTCCATATGTCCCTTAAAGCAGCTACAGATCCATAGATCAGTGCCAGTCTGCGAACCACTGGCTGCCAGGCCATGGGGCCTGCTGACTGCTGGAGTTGAAGCTGGCTGTTCGCGGCAGCTCTTGGGGCTGTGGCTGGGGGACATCCCAGGCCCCTAAGCTGCCGCACAGGAGCCGGATTCCAGGGTGCTGCAGTCTCACCCTCCCGACTTGCCCCCCACCCTCCACAGCTGGAGCACCAGTGCTGGCTTCCTGCTGCGGGGGGGAGGAAGGGGTGGAGAGAAAGCCCCAGGTCTTGCTCCACGATCTGGCTCGCAGGGAAGAAGTGCTGCCCCGCGCTGCCCCTTCTCCCCCGGCTGGGGGAAAAGCAGCATACGGTCAGCACTTCTTCCCCAGAAACCAGGTTGCAGAGCAAGGCTCTGGCCTTTCTCTCCCCACCCCGCAGCGGGAAGCCAGTGTTGGTGCTCCGACTGTGGGGGTGGGGAGTTCCTGATGTCACTGGAGTCTGAAGGTGCCTACTCAAGCTGCTTATGCAGCTGCTTCACCAGGAGGGGTTTGAAGAGTTTCTGATCATCTTAACTCCCTAGTCTGCACCCAAGTTCCTTGTATGTCAAATTGGGGGTAACAGCACTTCTTCCTGTGTGTGGCGTGAAGACAGGCAGACTGGAGAAGATGTAAGGACCTAACAGGGCACAAGGGATTGCAAGTACAGACAAGATAGCTAGGTAACCAGAGAAGCAGGAAACTGGTGCAACCAGAAAGGCACCGGAGTACCATGACAGCTGTACAAGTGTCCCTGCCATGCTCCTCCACCCCAAGACAAACCTGGGGGTTATAGTAGTTGGTATGGGGGGGGGCGGGGGGAGAGAGACAGACAACCCATGTACCTTTGGGTACATATTTTAAAGCCATGATTTACAACCATTAACTTTTTTCAACCGTCACTCCACTCCTGGGTCAGACATCACCCACTGTCACCTCTACGGGGGAAACTGAAACACGAAGGGATGGGGGCAATGGGTGATTTGGGGCATCCACTTGAAGGCACCTGATTTTCAGATACCCTACCCCCAGCCTGTTCCTGCACCTTTTTTCTCGTGCAGACCTCACTCCCTCCTGCACCCTACCTCCTGCCCATATCCTGCACCCCAATTCTTCTTGCTTGCAGCCCTGTTCCACATACTGAACTCCCAACCCCAGAGCCTAGGGGAGGTCCACAAAATCCACTAACCCTGGAACCCAGAAAAGTAAATATGGACTATGGGAAACTCTGAACCTCAGTCCTCCCTGTCCCTCCTCCTTCCCCAGTGTGGGTAGAGTGCCAGAGGAGTGAACTGTCTCAGCTGGGGGAGGGAGGAGGTTGGGGATTTTTGGTGGGTTGGGTTTGAGATTTTTTTTTTTTTGCTTCTCACTTGTGTGGTCTCCAACTGATTTTTCTGTGGGTCAGTGGCCCCCTCCCCGAGAAAGGTTCCCTGCCCCTGGTTTAAACGAACGCTCGTGGCACCGGTAAACACCGGCAATTAATAGGATCACGGGCGGCGGGTGCCCGAGGCAAGGGAAGGTGTTGCCTTCCCCGACTGCCAAGTGTGGCCCCGCCCACACTCCGCCCCCTGCTTCAGCGTGTCTCCCGGGCTGCCCCTGCACTTCAGCCTCGCTGAGGCAAGGACCGTGCCTCACCCACCCTCCCTGTGCTCCGGGCTGGGGAGGCTCACACTGGGGCTTGTGGGGGAGGCGTGGGGGGGGGGGGGTTG